AACAATAATCTCATGAAGGATAGTTACGAGAACAAATTTAAGGCGAGGCTAAATATAAAATCATCACATTAGCGAAGGGACATTTTTTCGTTAATTAAAAATAATTTGTGTGCGATATTCCCAAAGAAACAAAAACTGTTCCTTTTGTAAAAAATCAGTGGGATTATCAGGGATTTTTGACAGTGTAAAAATTGCACAAACTGACCGCAATTCCTGACCATTAAAAAAAGTATGCAGAGGCACCCAACAATTCCTGTTTTTCAGTGTTGAAAATGCGTAAACTTAATTGCCTATGTCCTATTTTAGCAACTATCGAAAATAATGGGCCCGTTTGATTGTGTTGAAAGACTTTATACTTGTCAGGGTTTGTATATAAATTTAACATAAATAATATAATTGAATAACCCTTGCAAGGTTTTTTTTTGTTTTAGCACTCAGATTTAATGCATCACTTCGTACTTCGGTCAAGAGTGAATTTCCTTGAGTCAAATTATCCTTTTATTTTTCTATGAGCGACCTGTACAAATTTGAAAGGAAACCAGAGACTTAAGCAATTTACCTATATGGTTCTCTATTCCTCAAAAACTTCAGAAGCATGTTCCATTATAGTGTCCCTAAAGGGTTTAGGTTGTACAAGAAAAATAAATAATCCTTTGTTAACAGGGGAATATTTTTCGTCCGAGTTAAGGCATAATGCCATAGTGGGTGTATTTATACTCTGATTGGATAAAGTCAAAGGCATCAATGAATCACGTTTTTTAACACCTGGATCAGTCCAAAAAAGTGGAACAAAACCTTTCTGTCATTATTTCTAGCATACGAAAAGGAAACATTAATCCTGCGAAGGTTTCCTGAACCCAAACTGAACTGAGCGGGAAGAAGTAAAGTAATAATCACACTTGAAATCAACTTAATCAGTTTAAGAGGTTCGGGTCCGGAAAACCTGAAAAGGAGGTTCATAAAACTTCCGTAAAGGAATGTGTAGGTTTAAGAAGGTTTTATGAAACTAAAGTAGACTTGGAGGACCAAAGTAAGCCAAAAATTATATCTGAAACCGACTTAAGTAGTTAAGGGTAATATTTTAGGGTAAACTTTCGAAACAAATTTTTCGGAGACAAATCTTCTGGTGGCTAATATTACGAGGAAATAATACCGGAAATTGTGTTTGTTTTAGGGATGAATTTTCTTATGAACGAATATTGCTAGGACAAGGTTTCGTTCACTTAATTTCTGATTGGAATTTTACACTTGTCAATAAACGGATGGAAACATACAGTTGGGGTGTTGCACTTACTCCAACGCGGGTTTATATGGGCGAATCCAAAGTTAATTCACATTTTTAACATTACTTAACTTTCAAAAGTTGCAAAAAAATAGAATTGGGTTTCGTATGTCGACGAAAATCAAATAAAAATAATGCGTGTAGATGTTTGACTGAAATTTGAAGTTCTTTTTCTGACTTAAATAACGGTATCGCTTAAAAATGGGATTAATTTATAAACAATTACAGGTTGTCCAACGAGAATAATAATCAAATGTGAAACATCGAACACGTTTATGTGCAAAACGTCAAAATACAAAGCCTACTTAAAAATTTCCCCATCTTATACACTTTTTTTATAACACTGACATTTTAAACCGCGTGTAAAAATGTAAAATGGACACTTACCGGTGAAATTCTTTTTGTTACTTTAGAGACCATCTCTGTAATACGTATATGCTTACCATCCCGAGAGAGAGTCGCAAGTGCATTAAATCACAATCGATATGAAAACGCCGATTTTCTCAAAAATGTTCATGAAAACTTTGGACATTCTGTTTTTTTACTAAAATCCAATAGTTTGGTGGAAATTTGAGGTAACTTTTTTGGTGCCTCAAGCATTGGTATTAGCTAAAAATCGCATCGATTCTTAAATGATCGCAAATTGAAGGTAATTTGACGCATCAATCAATCGTAAAATATCGAACACGATGATGTGCAGATACGGAAACTACGATTTGTATCAAAATTTTCACTTTGTATAGGTCATATTTTCAAAAGAAGAACAGAAATGTCACACACAAATTTAAAAAAATTGCTAATTCGGTCATCCGACATACTTACAATTTCTGATAAAGCTACATATTTAAAAAAAAAAGTGATATAAGAACAAGAGCATCAGGAAACAAATTAATTTTTTTAAACAGAACCGTTACTTTTTTCTATTATATTTTTCAATGTTTTGTTGATAGGTTACAATTACCTTAGGAATTAAAGCTACGCTATGTTTTTAAAACCAATCACGCGAAGTATATGTGGGAAAACAAAAACAAAAGAGAGTTTTTCACTTCACAAAATTAGTTTATGTTTTTGTTTAAATTTCTACAGTTACTGTGATTGTTTTCTGATGCTCTTTTGTTTTTATATCACATGTTTCTTTCAATATGTAGCTTTTTCGAGGGCATATTATACGATTTTAGCTGTACGAGCATTTCTTTGTTTTTTAAATGTTGCACAGGTACCTTTACGAATAAATTTTGCACTTTCTCGAAAATTGTGTAAACGATCAATTAAGCTATGCTGCCTCTATGCGCTATTCTTATCGATAGATAAAAAAAATTGTAGAAATAGAGAGGTTTGAGCCTGGATTTGAGGGGTCTTGAGGTTTATTCCTTGTTAGAATTTTTGCGAAATTTTTACTGTGTTGTTGAATATTTCATTTACAAGATTCTTTGTTTTCAGTTCTTTTTGCCGATTTTTTCAATTGTAAGCGTTTTTCTAATGTTTCGAATTTGTTTAAAATGTACCTCCTTTTAATTTTTATTATTTTCATAACGTTTACAATTCTGTGACTTTTCTGAATTTTCATTGTTGTTCTTTACGAAGACGTTATGTGATTTTTTTAAATTTCTACAATACCGTTTCAATACACGCTTCGGAGTGTGCTCTATAGGGGCGCTTAACAGCCTCCTAGATACTTTCCATAGCTTTATTCTTCATACCAGAACGTTCTGTTGCTGTACCTATCTAGCTTTGGAAAGGGCATATAACAAAAGCTCTGAATAGTAAAATTCGTTCGTTGAAGGCTCCTAGAATGCACCATTTTGGCCCATTTTCAGATACACAAAAAATTCCAAAAATTCGTATACCCTTTCCTTAGAATCGTCATTATTAAAATATCCGTATATTCATTTGCAATATACTGGGGGGTAGTCCATATCCCCTAGACCCCCCTGTGCTGTAAATCTCTCCCAAAACTATAATCACAGAGGACTCTTAGTTTTCAAAGAAGGTCAATCGAATCTCCCTTTCCTAATAGTTCGAGAAATAGAGACTGAAAATGGACCATTTCCTGCAAAGCGAGAAGTAGTTCCAATTTTTGTACTGAATATCTGATGGTCTGTATCAAATTTTTCGATCTCCTACCCCTTGTACTTCCCCTGTACCACCCCTAAAACCAAAGAAATGAGGTTGTTTTTTTAGTTTTTCAATCATATCAATCAAAATTTGGTTAAAATATCTACATTGAAATTTCAGAATTCTTAAAAATATAAGCAAATTTGGAGTTCTATATCTTTTTTAATAAACATTTCACAAAAAAGTAGTGTACATTTTTTTGTAAAATGAACCATTAAAACGATATGATTGAAAAACTAAGAACTAACCAAATTTCAGGGGCTTTGGGTGTGGTACGTGGGAAGCACAAGGGGTGGGAGGTCGAAAACTTAGATACTTAACCACCACATGACTGTCTATGACATGCAAAAGAAATTGGAACTACTTCCCATTTTGCAAGTTAAAACCCTCTATTCCCTGGACTATAATGAGTAAGTATTCCAATCTTGTTGTGGTGTTTCAGGTGAAAAATTCATTAAGAACAAATATTTCAGGGCCAGGTTTTCATAGGTAAAGGAATTTTTTTTCATATTGTCATTAATATTTGTTTAATGGTAACCAAGGCTGACAAAAATGTGTTGTTGAATATCATATAAAAAACCCTAGGACAACTTCCTCTGGCAAAATGAATATTAAATTCATCTTTGAATGCCCGGATTGTCACAAGTGGAAGTTCTTCTTGTGGGGTGTTTCATTTGGTGAACAAATTTTGGTTAGGGGTGAGTTTTCTACGAGACAAATATTGCCGTGTGGTAGTAAGAATTTTTTTGTCAAAATTAATTGATACAGATACAATTTACATTAAAATCGCCGAATTCTCCCATTTCGGGGCGTTTCCACCAGCTTTCCTTAAACTTTGTTTCCAAAGTAAATACACACCAAGATCGTGGAATAATAAATTCCTAATTGAATTTTGTCCGAATGATACGATCGTAAATAAAGAAAACGTCACTTGCTGCCGTATCAATTTAAAACCAAAATGAGGTCTTAAAAATTGTCATCGATTAAAGCGCGCTTCATTTAAGTACGCCGGCAAGCATAACTTGGCTCCCATGCAATAATCGTAAAAATGTGTAAACGTAAAACGTTCTGGGAAATTACGACGGAGGTGTTTTAAGTCATGATTTTTTAAGATTTACGGCGATCTTCAGCTCTAAAACGTTTATGCGCCATTAAAATTAAAACTGTAGAACAATGTAGAGACCACTTAAAGTTAACGCGCAACCAGGAAGTCGAGGTTTGCACGCGGCGCGATTCATTTAAAATAATATTCCGAATCGGAAACGTGGTGCACTTACTATTATCGTCGTCTGGATAACGTATGCACATATCGTTTAATCTCATTTAGTGCAGATGGACGATATGAGATGTGTATTAAAGCGCGCCGGCTGCGACAAAAGACCGAGCTTTTGCAAAGCTCGCCGGTTTTCTTCTTTTCGCGGTCTCGCCTGTCACTTCGAACGCTTGAAGATGAGTTATTGCCTATCTGTTGGACTGAAAAAGGGGAAAACGGCCCTCGTTACACCATATTTTTGTTATACTCTCCCCGACCGTCGTACATGTCAACTTTTGATTCTACCCCGACTGAGATTTATCGATCGCTAACTTTTTCTTCTTGTTTCAGGTTTCGGATTTGTCACATTTCAAAGTGAAGATGTTGTAGATAAAGTTTGTGAAATACACTTCCACGAGATTAACAATAAAATGGTAAGTTTTTATTTAAGGCACTTTATTTTTTCTTACAGGATTTGCCAACGTGTACCACAGGGGTGGGTATATATTATTTCCCTCACATATTTTTTTCAAGGATTAGTCTTGAAAAATTTTATGTGTGTGAAGGGCATTTGCCATTGTAATTAGAAGAATTCGTGCAAAATTATGCGTTTAGAAGCAAACTTTAATGCAAGTGTTTTCTAACTACCTCACAGTTTAAAACTGGCGCAACATCTTTCAAAGTACGGCTTAAATCCAAGCTTTGCATATTGCCATTACCGTGCACCTTTAGGTAAATTTCAGACCTTTCAAAATAATGATTTTAGAAAGTAGCATAGAACTTCAGAGAAGGTTTATAAAAAAAAGGTTTGCAAGCGAGGTTCCTATTGGCGTTGAAGTTTGTAGTGATATCTCTATTGGAACTCCTGCCATTTAGAAAAAAGGTTTCTTAAGAAATTTGTAAGATTTCTAGGACCCAAACAATGTTTCAATATGAAGAAGGATCCTAATACGATTTTTTAAGCGTCAAGTAGTAAGTTCCTCAGAATTTGCAAATAGCTCCTGGGCCTCAAAGCAAAGGAAGTTCCTTAGATGTGTCTTTGTTCGATTTTGAAAAATTTCAGTAAGGAAGACAAGAAATCCTGCTCAAGGAATTTCCTAGACTTTTAAAATTGAAATCGATAGCTCCTTACATGCAAAGTCGCGATTGCGTAACACTTTAATTCAACGGTTATCTCGGATTCCAAAAGGACTTAAATTTATTGTACGTTGGCGACCTTTATCAAGCTTTTTAAGTTTCCTAAAATGTTTATAGTAAGCTTCCAGGAAGCTTCTCCAGAAAGGTTCCGTCTCAAATTTTTGTAACCGACTTCTAATAAAATAAACTGCGTGTAACGCGGATATGGAAAAACGGTGTGACTACGGGGTCATTGTATTTGAACCATGTCAATAGACTTGTTACATGTGTGTGACTTCCCTAAAAAGCAATTCTGCCCTTTTATGTCTTAACAATATGTGTACGAAATTTGGTTCCAATCCGTTCTGCCGTTTAGCCGGAAATATGAGAGTACATGACCGACCGACAAGCTGACATCATTGAGATTTTGTTTGATTCGGATTCCCAGTGCTTCAAAATGCGTATTTCTGTAAAAAAATGTGGGGGGGGGGGTTTACGCCAATTGCTATACCTCTCTTACTAAGATGCGGGTGGTAAAACAAATAACACCTCGTTATAGGAACTTTTTAAACTCTACAAGGTGGTGCCCACCGATTTTCATTGTGACGTTTTGTCTTTGATAAACCACCATCAACTTCATATTAGGTTGAGTCTACACCCTTACAGGGAAAAAATCTTTAGAATCTCTTTTTTTATGGAGGATTGTAAAACAAATTGCAATTCGTTTATTTCAAAGAAGGTACTTCCTAACAACTTTTTAATGAAAAGCTTGTGGTTGAAAGTCCTTGAAAAATCCTCTAGGAAAGATTTGTGTAAGATGCCTAACAAGGTTCCTAATAAGCTTTCAAAAAAAAAACCTATTATGCACGGGGGCCGTTTTTTTTCAACCTCCGTTGGGGGGCACAAATAAAATTTGTTATATCGCTCGATAGTTAGTAAGCATTAAGGAAGCAAGAAAAAGTTTCATACACTAACTGTGTTTTTTGACTTCTTGAAGAAACTTTAAATCAAATGCGTGCAAAAATTGCATCAATTTGTTACAATATCGTATTTCATTGAAAATCGGCCCTAAAGGATTTTGTTACAATGATTTTCTCCGAGATTTTCTCAGACTTGATCAAATTTTAAACTTTCCGAGGCGAACTTAAGGCTACAACGTACCAAATTTACATATTACTCGTGCACAATAACACATTTTGACTAGCATTACATGAGCAAATGCCTACTGTTTAATTTTTGATCAATGTTCTTCATGAAAGTTGCCTGAAACGGTTGATACAAAAGCGTGTTGGATCGTATAAATTCGGCAAAACGATTTACATACCTTATTTCTAGAATCCTTCTCATCTACTTCCCTCCTCTTTCAGCATCTTTCTCTTGCTTCCCCTTGCCTTTTGCAGCTCCTTAGACTTCCCTCCTCTTCATGTCCACCGATTCTTCATTTTCTTCACTTTTATTGTCTCCACTTCACTATCTTAATATTTTTTTCCCTCCCATAAGTATTTCGGCAACCACCCCCCTTATTAGTTCCTTGTAGTTACTGTTTTCTCCTGAACTCTCTTCTTTTTACCACTTTGTTGTTGTACTTTTTTGTCCACTCGTCTACCATCTTCCTTCGTTCGACCTCAGACCATCCGTATCCATTTCTTTCATAGTATTTTCTCTAATATTAATCTTCAGCTTCAGCATTGAGTAATGTGCCCTGAGAGAGTTGAGGTACAAATTGATTTTTCATTAAAGTATACTAACAAGGTATTTTCAGTAGGTTGTTCTACATTTTTATGCGGCACCATTTCTTAAACGTAACAATTAACAAAACAAAACGAAGAAAAATGGGAAAATGTCGTTTTTTACCAAGTACAAGTATAGCTTGGTAATGAGCATGACTCCCTAGACTGGACTGTTTTTGCAGCCAGTTAAAACCTTTCTTCCGCCTACTCCCAATAATCTACTCAACCCAATTTTTTGTAATTGCACCGGGGACGGATATACCTTGAACTGTGGTTTGTAATAGGTGGTCACTTTGCCGTTTCAAAAATGTGGTTTTGAATTTTTATTTTGTTTTATAATAATTTTTGTCGCTTAAGTAAACATTTTTTATTAAAAAAGAAACTGTGGTACCAAAAATTAAAAATATTAAAAGCGCATCTTATGCTCTACCTCAACTTTTTGAATCGAAAGTATTAATAAATTTTTTGTAGGAAATTTAAATTAAAAGTTACCAACAGAAATGTAGAAGCATCCATCTTCTTTGACTAAGATCGCTTTCCTAGGAAGACTTCCATAACGAAAATTTCTAAAAAGGTTTTTATGAAACATTTTTGGGAGGAGAATTAATTGTAGGTTAAATATCAGGGAAAACTGCCTACACATATATTGCCAAAAAGGCTTTCAATAAGATGCATTTGTTTCTAAGGAATTTGAAACTCAAGGATGCTCCTTTCTATTTTCGTTTCAGATTCTTTAATTATTCATTTTTTACGGTTTCTTCAGTTTCGTTGGTTCTTTCAGATTTTTCGCAAGTCAATCAGATCTTTCGGACTTCCTAAAATTCCTGCGTCCAGTTTTTCCCGATTCTTCAAATTCTTTAGATCCATAAGATTCTTCATATTCTCACAATTATTTGCTTTCTTTCAAATTTTCAGACATTTTGGATTCTTATTTTCCGATTATTCAGTTATATACGTATATAATACGTATAAGTAACAAGTAAAGAATCTCAGAGGAGTCTGTAAAATATTCTTGAATCGTATCTGAAGAATCCATGAATAATCTGTGAATAATCTCCAAAAAGGCGTTTTAAAAAGCGGGCATTTTATAAAGAATATGCAATCGACCAAAATCAGGTACAATGATTGCTCGAAATTTGTAAGTTGTTTTGTTCCTCTCACAGTACAATATAAACAAGCATGTACCTACATTTATTAAGTTATTAACATTTTCTATAAGGCCAACCCTTATGAAAAAACTTGTGAACAGAATACACGACGCGTAAGGGATTGTGTAACAATAGAAGATATGCTAAGGGCGCCCTCTTATTACAAGCACAGATTAATAACCTTGTCACTTAGACTTTTCTTATGGCACCGTCATTATCGTGGAGAATGTCGGGAGTTTGTAAGGCGGGGTACACATTCCTCGCTTGTAAAATTACCCGCCGTAGTTTTAATCCGTTCTCGTTATTTTCCGCCATTTGTTTTCCCATTCTTCGACAATTTGATACAAATTAGATTATAATTTTTCGCTTGCTCTTCTCCCATACACGTTCCCTTGACGGAGCGCAAGGCTTCGGACGATATATCTCCCGACCCGTGCAACGGGATCTCTTACAATCAAGAGTGATTTGCAGGGCACCATCTTCCAATTACTGACGGCTATCGTACTTTACCACCTATTCTCGACGCTTTTGTATTATTTTTAAGACGTAAACCGAAAATATATCGCCAATACTCCTCTGACATTACCAAGCGAAGGGACATCGTTTCATCTGTCAGTTTTGTGTATACGGTGCCCTTCGGGGTGCTTTCCCCGCCATATTCTAAATTGTTACGCGTAAGAAGAGCGCATATTGTTTATTACAAGGAGAGCTCAAATTTAACGATGTTTGCCGTCATTTTTACCGAGACTGTAATCTTTATTTATGTTAAGCTCGATATGCCGCTTTCACCTGAGGAAAATCTTGTATTATCCTAATTGCGGAGATCATTATCACGTTCCGTGCTTTGTACGCTGCTTAATGGAAATATTTGGACCGTTTCGTTTTAATGCTACTGGAAACTCCTATTGACGTTTGAAGCAAGATGACGTGATCCAAACAAAAGGACGGTTCTGCGATTTCGAAATTGTACTTTTGAGATTGCGAGTGGGTATTTGTTTAGATTTAGTGTACGAGCTTTCTAATGTAAGAGATACGGATCAAGGTTTCGAATTTGAAAGTAAACCTCGGTCAGTTTGTGGATTGTTGGATTGTGGATGGCTCTAGTAATAGTTTTTTTTGTGAAAAATTTAAACAAATACTGCGTCAGGTTAAAAAAACTAATGAAAGTACAATGAGTTTCGAAGGCCCTGTCCTCGTACTTTGATTGCAATCTGGTTTCTTTATACACTTATTAGGTTACATGTAAAATCTTTTGCAGTTTCTTTGATTTAAAAGGCACTTAATGCCATTTTTAAGCACCTGTACTTTTGAAGAATATTTTATGTTGCGGAATAAAGGTTTGTTTTTGGGTGTTTAATCGAACCTAAAGTACGTCCCAGATAGAGTTTTCAAGTCAGATTTTTCCTACATCTTTACAAAATATTTTCTATCAGCTCAGGG